ATTGTACATAGTCTGTAAATATGAAAGCAAAAAATAAATTCTATGAATTAAAAAAAAGTTTTTCAAAATGTCAAAGTTTTTGATAAAGTTTTTCAAAGTATCAAAGTTTTCGATAAAGTTTTTCAAAGTGTCAAAGTTTTCGCCAAAGTTTTTCAAAGTGTCAAAGTTTTCACCAAAGTATTTCAAAGTATCAAAGTTTTCGTCAAAGTTTTTCAAAGTGTCAAAGTTTTCGCCAAAGTTTTACGAAGTGTCAAAGTTTTCGCCAAAGTTTTTCAAAGTGTCAAAGTTTTCGCCAAAGTTTTTTAAAGTGTCAAAGTTTTTTCATCAAAGTTTTTCAAAGTGTCAAAGTTTTAGCCAAAGTTTTTCAAAGTGTCAAAGTTTTAGCCAAAGTTTTTCAAAGTGTCAAAGTTATCACCCTGTAGTAAATCAAAGTTTTCAAAGTGTCAAAGTTATCACTGTAGTTAACTATAGTAAACTTTAGTATTTTTTGTTAGGTTTAGGCAAAGTAAGAATTGATAATAACATTACTTTTTCACTCACATCAATCTTTATATTTCAGATGAGATTCCTCAAAGCTTTGTAGATTTTATATTGTTACTTTAAAGGTCATTTTACGCAATCAAAGCTTGTCTAAGTAGTGTTTAACGAGTCATAATTTTTTTTATAATTAAACGTCTTAAATAAAATAAGTCATCATAGTATTCAAAATAAACAAATCTTTAACAGTCACAAATTTCAAAATGTTAAATGTAAAAGAGGCCCAAAGTAACATTAAAAAGAACAAATTTTTTTTACAAAAATATGATGCTAAAAAAACAAGGAAAAACGAAGAAAATAAAAAAAAAGCAAAATCAACTAAAGAAAAAAAGCCGATAACAATGTTACTTTAAAGAAAATTTAGGTGGGATCAGGGGCCATGAAACCAAATTACTAAATATTACGTATTGAATTTTACTTTTCAATCGTCAATTTTCCTTACGCATGCAGCAGTACGTATACCTTCATCACCTGCGTACGGATTCAATATCTCTCAGTTGATTCGATAAGCAAGATGAATGCTCTACTTATGTTAATTTCTAAAACATATATTTATTGACGAACTAGATAATAAGACAAGGATATCAGCAGTCTCGTTTAAAGTCAGCCTTTCGTAAGTTTTTTGGTTGATACAATAACCTTGTCAGCAAATACAATTTATCATTGAGTCAAATGCTGACCGTCGTTTTTCATAATTGATGACACAATGAATTGACGACGATGTTTTACGTTATTTCCCGATCATGACACAGGGCGGATGTGACCGGTCGGCAGGGGACGCTCACTTCTCCATGGCACCTGATCCAACCTCTGATGTATTGGATTTTGGAGGTATTGGAGGTCTGTGTTTGTTCTTGCCCTATTTTGTTTTGTTTTACGGACTTATGATCTTGACTACTGTTCGGTATCTCGATATATTTCAAGGTACTGATTAAGTTCAAAACAATGATCAATTTAATTTACCCGACTCAATACATTCAAAATTCAAGATATTGTGTTTTACAAATGTAGATAATCATTTCTTTAAAACATTTTTTGTTATTTTAATATTCTATCTTGATTTTTCAATTTGAAATAAATTCATTTGATGATTTCAGCCATACAGTACATAAAAGAAATGGCAAAGAAAAAAATCACTCTAAATGGTTAACGAATGTGAAAAAGAATAAAATTATCAGAACCACCTAAAACTTTTTTTTAATTCTTTAAAGCCTGTCCTCAAGGATACTTCGGTCCTAATGTGAGCATACATGTCCTTATCCGACATATGGGTATAAATGCCTAGAAGGTACGTGTAGTTGTCCCAAGGAACAGTGCAAAAACACTCGTGGATGTTTATCAGGTTTGTATGATATCTAAGAGAGGGGAAATATTTTATTATACCAAAGCGTAAAATAACTGTCAGTTTTTGTACGATGATTGATTTTTAATTGTAACCAAAAATGGCACTATCTTTTACCAATTTTCCCTTTAATAAGAAGTACACGACTGCATACAAAACTAATTTTTACAATTTATTCTCCTGAATTAGCTAGTGAATTTAACATGTTTGTGAAGAAGGGTACAAATATGGATCAAAAGGAAGAATCAAAAACCTTAACCTGGAATCCAGAGAATAGCACATCCAAGGATGATAAATTAAATCAGATGACGTCAGAGCCCTCACGGGAGAGCAAACCTAAGGAATGGTCCGATATGATAGTCATCATCGCCCTGTCTTCAGTGTCTACTGTTGCCGTCTCAATGATCGTCATGGTTGCCCTGGTGTTCCGACGAGGACAAAATAAAGCAAACCAGAGTGACCCGAATAGGGTGTCGTACATATCAAATAATGGGCGAGTCACATCTTACTACGAAATAGATGCAGAAATCTTTTTCCTAACAGATTTAGTAAAGGTGAAAGTAGTGTCGGAGAATACTCGGGTCTGGACGAGAACAAGGTCGAGAAAAGCAAGTACACATCATTGTGAAGAAGAAATGATAAAGGACACCTAGTTCTGATAATGATTACATTCTGTCTGACTTAAATAAGTATCCTGACATTAACCTTTATATTACTCATACGAATGAGTTTTTTTCTGAATCATCTTAGTATGAGTTAAATGACTAAGGTAGAAACATTGCAACATGCACTGGTTATGATACGCACAAAGTCGAGATAGGAACAACTTCATTGATTGTAGATTTTCAATTATAATTTCTTTACTTAACTATTCATGTTTTTTTTAATTTATCCAACTCTTTTGTATTAGAAGTCTGTTTTTCGCTGCTCCTGATTTGAAATTTTTGATTGAGTTTTAGCTTACTTGATTAATGTTCATTCTCTGCATATACTAGTATTTTTTTTTCTAAAAACAATGTCTGAAAAGGTCGTTCTTAAATGATATGAAGACAGGTTCATCGTAAAAAACTGTACTTAAGAAATGCATTTTTTTTTCATTGAAACTTAATAGAAAGAATCAAAACGGACAAAACCCGTTATGCATTTATTATCCAACGTTTTAAGGACTTTTTGTATTGAATACTGTTCGTTATCTCCATATGATTTAATAATAATAATAATAATAATAATAATAATAATAATGCTTTATTTAAAGAAGGTAACCCGATTAGTACAAAGTGCTATTCTTCCCCGGGGCCTTCTAGATTTCAAACAATATACAGGCATAAAATAGTACAATCAAACATATATACAATGTACATGAAAATGATAAGCTCATTTTATAACTTTATAATCGAATGTAGTTTACAAATTAATGAAAATATAGGACAATAAATAAGTCAATATACAAAGTTTAAAAGACATAGTTAATAACAAGGACATCTATAATGATAAAAATTACAGACGTTGGCTAATTATAACTTTTTTCCAAATTCTTTCTAAAAACAGGTAAAGATGGCGATAATTTAACATGTAACGGTAGACTATTCCATAAATGTACACCTGAATATTATAAAGAGTTTGTAAATAAGATTGTTCGGTGCTTTGGTAATCGAAGATTATAGTTAAATTCTGAACGCAATGAGTATGATTCAGAACTGTGAAAAATAAAAAGATTCTGGATATATTCTGGGCTCATGCCATAAAAAGTTTTATACAATAAAATATATTTATGAAACGTAACTAACTCAAAAACATTTAACCATCCTAGTTTTTCAAACAAAGGCTTAGATGGTTGGTCAGGTGCTGCATCAAGAATAATTTTAGCAGCCCGTTTCTGAAGCTTATGAATTCTCTCATTTTCGCTGATGTCCCTGGCATACCCCAAGGACTAAACTGTAATTCCTGAATTAAATTCAGTTAAACATATGGAGATAACATAGAATATTCAAGATCAAAGATTCATAAAACAATACAAAACAGGAGCAGAACAAACACGGACCTCCAAAACATCAGAGGTGGAATTAGGTGTAATGGAGGAGTGAGCGTCCCCTGCCGACCGATCCCACCTGTCGTGTGCTCCTTGTCCTGATCGGCAAATAACGGAAACATACATCGTCAATAATAGGCTAACAATAAGTATGAAAAACGTCATTCAGCATTTGACCCAAAAATTAGTTGTATTTTCTGACAAGGTCATTGTATCGACCATAGAACCCACAAAACGACGACTCTAAACAAGACCACTGACACTCCCGTTCCATCAACCTGCCTGTCAACAATTCACCTCGTTTCAGAAACTGTTCACACGCGAAGCATGCTCCCGCGTATCGAACCAACCGAGATCGACACACACACTCCGCATGCAGGCGATGAAGGTATATTACTGCACAAGCAAAGATAGTTGACGACAGAAAAGCCAAAACCATCACCTCTTTCACATCTCTATAGCTTGGTTGCTGCAAGATAATAATAAACTTCTTCAGGCAAAGTTTCTCGTTAAAGTGTGTATTAAAATTTTGCTCATAATGTATTAATCAACCGTGAATTACATTTTGTTTACTCGCATGGTTAACAATTTTAAGATTTGAATTTTTTTTAATATGTCATGAAAATTGTTAAATATCAATTTTGTTAACTTTTTCATTAAGATACATTTTGGAAAACTATAAAATCACGTATTTTCATTGGATCAGTTTCTCGAAATTTGAAGAAAAATATTGTTCTTGTTCTGTGAGGATTCGATTTGTTGGTTGAAAGATGTTTAGTAATAATGCATTAGAAATTTTACATTTCGTGGTGGTCATAATCTTATGGGTCTCTCCAAACCCTGAAAACAACGAAAGTTAACCACAACCCGGAAATAAAAGATTTCATAATCTTTGAATTTTGAATAAATTTCCAGTTCGGTATCATTTACTTTATTTTATTTCTAGGGGAGAAAATTCTGATTTGGTAATATAGTATAGTCAATCATCGATGCAATATTTACCATGAGTGGTGTATAATTATATTTTCAATTTCTGTTAAGTTTTAAGGAAAATAATTTTCAATCCTTTTCACGGAAGAGTGTGTTTATATCCACTCAAATAAAGGACATTATCACGTAAACAGATATTCACTTTCTATCATATATGTATCCTTATGATGTATATTTGTTGTTTGGTATCAGTTGGAATAGTTTCTGTTTTGATTAAGGATGCTTTTCTTTGCATTACGTAAGAGAAAATATCAATGATTGCATTGAAAATAAAAGCTTATTGCACGAGTATATCATTTTAAATAAACGATGTTACGATTTTCTTAAAGAAATGGTACTCAGTGTTGTGCAGATTTTTACAATGACAATGGAGAATGCAAAGGTAGGTATTGCAAAGAATTGAGAATGTATGCTATAATGATCATATGCGCAAAGGTACGTTATTTCTTTATATTTACATTTGCAAATGTTTTCATATGCATAACACTACTGAAAGCAAACGTTTTTATAACTGTATAAATACAGGTACGGGGTCAAGAGGTCACAGATGTTCGTATGGATAAACGTTCAACGTAATTTCTCAGTGACGTCATAAAGGGTCGACGCGCTTTCAGTGGATAACATACATGTCGTTGGGTTTGAAAAATAACGCATTGCACACGCTTAAAGTCACAATCAGGTGAATATAAAGTATGAATAAGTCACAAATGTAAATATAAGTAATAAGGTATCATTTTTTGAGTTTTATTGGGATGTAAAACGGGTTGGCACATGATTAAATCTTCCATAAAGCCCTTCGGGCTTTATGGGATTTGATCACGCGACCAACCCGTTTTACATCCAAATAAAACTCAAAAAATGATACCTTATTTCTTAAAGAAACATAAAATCATTCTGATTTCTTCAAAATTCCTTTTACAGAATGTCCTGTAGGATACTTCGGACCTAACTGTACCCACAGATGTCAATATCCTAGGTATGGACGCCGCTGTCTGCAGGGAAATTGTAATTGCTCTAAAGAGGAATGCAGCTTAGCAGTCGGCTGTGGCAAGTCAGATTACATCAAATATTCGAAACATAGTTTCTTATTGTATAGCATTTGGAAATTTAATCGAAATTGTCTCTCACTTTCGGAAAAAAAGTATTAAGGAAGTTTTGGTAAAGTTATAATTTTAGAAATATTCTTATGTTTGTTTTGAAAAGTTTTATAAAACACATAACGATATTCATAGATGCAGGCCATGAATACTCAAACTGGACTTACGGAATACAATCGTCTAGACCTAGTGCTATCACAGTCACCATATACGTTGCTGGTTCGTTGGTCACTATAGTTATTCTGACATTGGCAGTATTACACTTAAGGCAAAAGTGTAATCCCAGACATGAAAGGCAGACTGTGACCATATCAACTGATGGAGCACATGAACACAGAGGAATATACGCTGAAATAAATTAATAATGCAGAATGAGATTTCCTTTCCAAAAGGCTATATAAAGCAAATATCTTTTCAAAATCTATTCTTCTGATGAATCGTTAAGTACTCAAACAATGCATGTGAATTTAAAATACAAGAACATCTTGTTTGTGGAAATAAAGGAATATTAACCAGTTTTAATCATATTGCAGCTGATATTACAAAATTCTACGTGAAATCAATATTTTTTTTACAAATATATATACTTAATTCTTTAAGTATCCCTAGCTGTAGGAATGAGGCAACAAAGATTTTGTGTTGTAACAATGCAATCTCCAGTGTAGAAAAGTTATAATAGACAGGGAATCTTATGCTGCATAGCACAGAATGGGAAACATATATTAACGAGTGTATGAAAGTTTGCAATCAAGAGCAGTGTGAAATTACCTGGGCTATAAGTAGTGTATAAAAAGGACACTGTTTGCATAAATATGTTCAATTTCGATAAAGTTATTGACAAAATTAGGTCTACTGTAGATTTTCGATAATTATTGTAAATTTATATCACCTACATACACCTTGAACTTATAAATAATTTCTTACGAGGTAAGTTATTGACAGACAAATTGCTAAAACAAGAACATCAGCAGTCTCATTTAAGTTCATTTCGTAAGTTTACTTGTCAATTTAATGACCTTGTCACCAGATACAATCTATCATTAAGTTAAATGCTGACTGATTTTTTTTTAAATTCGTATTAGGCCATAACTTGCATTGGAGGCTAAATCCTGCATGGCAACTGATTCTCGTTTTAGAGGTGTTTGTTCTGTTACAAATGTATATCATGTAAAGAATTCTATGTTTGCATACAATTTGTTCTGATGTGTCGGAGGTCCGTGGTTGCTCTGCTTCAAATTTGTATTGCTTTATGGACTTTGATATTGAATACTCTTCGTTATCTCCATATCCTTCTCCATATATTTTTTACAAATAAAAATAACATCGAACAACGCTCATAAATTATATTTTTTTTGATATCACTCATTGTCAGGCAACGTTGACTTTTGCTACACTGGAAAGCATGTCTTCATCATTCAGAGGGTTAAAAAATTTTATTTTCAATTTTTCACGATGAATCATATATAATTTACTTACATGAAAAAATATTACTATCTTTTGCTAGGTGCAGGTTGTTTCATAAGACGATCACCTATACTTGGTTGTTAAATGTTGGAAACATTGTAAAAATTGAGCATGCAATGGAACAGCTGAAGTGTTTTTAAATCACAAATAATTTGAATTTCTAAAACTAATGTTTCCCTAAATCACTTCCTTAATTTATGCCCAAATACTCTCATTTCGATTCAATACATGAATAAATTCTCAATTTAGACAAACCTGTCATTTTCCAAAAGACATAGATTTGTGGGTTGGGACTATAACTGTACATGTAATTCTTCCTGAAAAGTCAGCAACCGAAAAACGGGTGAATAAAACAATGACCAAACACTTTCATACATCCACCTTCACTGAAATACAGGCAACGGGAATGTCTCAGCATTTAGCGTTATATAGCGTCTAAATAAAGCCAAAATACCATCCATACATCAAGACACAAAAAATTATCCCAAGGATAACCAAACCATAATTCTAAAAATGTCAAGAGTTCAACACCTTTTTGATACATTTTGAAAATTTCAATTTTTTTAAGAATGGTGAAATGCATAATAATAATGGTTTATTGTGTAAATAAAGACTTTCCTGAAAATATTCAAAGCTTTAAACTTGAAATGTAGACCATGGCACTTTTTTTTTATTTGACCAAATTATGGTAATGACTGATGTTTAAAATATTGCTATACCATTTCAACTTAAAAAAATGTAGTGTTGAGTTAGCTCATCGATTCCTACAATCAAAATTACAATTTAGCCAAAAAGAGTTTTTTTTAGAGTAGAACAATAACTGCTATATACAATTTAAAGTTTTAAAATCATACAAAGCATTAAAGAGAATCAAACACCTTTGCATGCCTAATAAAATCAGGATTGGAACCTCTGCTGCTTTGCCCTCCTTAATGAGAAAACTTTTATCAGTACATGATTTCTTGATACGAAAATTAGAAAATAACATTTAAAAGATTTTTTCCCAAACTAGAACCAACAATAATAGTCTGTCCGTGTTTCATAACTATATTTCATTGGTCAGAGGTGCAACACATTTTTTAAAGATTCAATTTAATAAAAGATTTTCTACAATGTAAAGAAATATTCTTTAATTATATACAGATTATGTTAAATAAATTAAGGTCTAAATTCCTTTCCTTTTTATTCATCAATTTTATCAAATCAGATGACTGTGTTTTATCTGTTCATTATCCCTTTTTAATGAATATAAAAAATAAACACAATGAAAAGCGATTGGTGAATTCAAGAAATGTACTCATGTACATTTTCCCTAACTGCCATACTTTAAATACTACAATTCTTTTGACTAGGAGTACAACAAATATGTAAAAGTTATTGTAGATAAAATATGAATAAATATTTTTTTTTTTAAATGGCGAGTAATATGTTTCACAGTTGCTCACAGTTTTTTCTGTAAAGAAAAATATTGTAAAAATATGTTATTCGGAGATTCAGAACAGTATTCAAGCTCAAAAGTCCATGAATCAATACAAAATAAAAACAGAACAGACATGGACCTCCGAATCATCAGAGGTTGTGGTCAGGTGTCATGGAGGAGCGAGCATCCCTTCCGAACGGTCACACCCTTAAGACCACGCGTGTGAACCTAGTCATGATCAATATTTAACGAAAAAAATCCGTCGACAATTCAGCTTGTATAAAATCTGAAAATTACAGATCAGAAGCAAATAGCAAACACTAACCTACTAAGCTATCAGAGGTTTGATCAGATGCCATGAGAAAATGAGTATCTTCCGTCCACTGTTCACACCCGTAAGACCCAACAGTTGCATAATATTTCTTCTAATGTCATTATTTACAAATGTTAACGTTAGATTGTTGAAACCCATGTACCATCAATGAAATATATTGAGATAGCAAACAGTATTCAAGCTGAAAGTTTTACACAATTACACAGACCTCCAACAATTCAGTAGTACGATCAAGTACGTGAAATATGGAGAAATGGTAATAACCGCCATGTGCATTTTGTCATGAGCAGGAAACAATTGAAAATCCGTCGTCATTTTCGTATTCAAATAATTGTCTGACAATAGCATGAAAAACGTCGTCAGCATTTAACTGAATGATGTAATGTTTTTCCTGACAAGGTGATTGTATTTTCCATGAAACTTCAGGAATGATGTCTTCAAACGATGCGACTGATATTCTTGTTTCATCAACTTATTTGTCAATAACTTACCTCGGTTTAAAAAGTGTTCATACGTAGAGCATGGTCTTGCGTATCGAAACAATACATATAGATGTTAACCCAGTATGCAATTGATAAAGGAATTTTGCTGCAAGGGAAGTCGACGAAAACTTAAGGGATCGTTTTTCATACAATGTGGTTTCTGAAGTATCATTAAAGTTTTTTTATGTAAAAAAAAAATCAAAATCCAAAACATATGTGTCAAAACCTTTTGTATCTTTTATTTCAAGATCACCTGGAAAAGTCATATCGATTTAAAAATGTAAATAGACATTGTCAGTTGTTAATGACAATGTGTCGTCGATATATAAAAATGTCAAGTTGAAGGCCACAGCAAATGTTTTCTTGTTTTCACTTATAAGATTTTTGATATACCTTGCCTCAAATGAATACAAAAATAGGTCTGCTAATAACAGGGCAAACTTGTTCCTATGGGATTTCAAGTAGATTTGTTGAAAAATCTGGTCTCCAAAAGCACATAAAATTTAAATCAGACTCAAGCATCTTTTTAATATCAATTGCAGAGTACTTGTGTGTAAAATTAGAATGCTTTTAACTAATAGTTTTGAAAATCACCTATGACAAGGTAACTAAATTTACGATAACTTTTTTAATGCAAAAACAGCTGTCATTGATATAAAAAAAAAACAAATTAAGATTGATCGTATTCAGGACATTTCCTTGAGCAGGAAATAAGTTTGAAGAGGAAAATACAATATGCAGGTGAACGCAGAATATTTTAACTTAAAAAAGAAAAAATAATTATCAAAAAACTAATGTCATCCCTTTTGGCAAACAATTTTATCATCAGTTGGCCTTAATCGGCTAAATTTGGCAAAATATATACAGTATTCAAGCTAAATCTCCATTAAACAATACAAAATAGGAGAGAGCAAATACATACCTCCAAACATCAGAGACGGCTACCATGGAGGAGTGAGCATCCCCTGCCGGTCACAGCCGTGTGCTCCTCGTCATGATCGGGAAATAACAGACAAATCAGTTGTCTATTCAGTGTATTAATAACGGACTAGCAATTAGTATGAAAAACGTCAGTCAGCATTTGCCTCAATGATAAATATTATTTGTATGTGTTGACAAGGTCATTGAACTTACGAAATAATGACTTTAAACGAGACTGCTGATATTCTTGTTTCATCGACTTGTTTGTCAATAATTTACCTCGTTTTAGAAATTGTTCATACGGAGAACAGAACATGCTCTTGCGTATCTAATCAATGAGATATATAAACTTCGAATGCATGTGATAAAGGTGTATTGCTGCATAAGTAAGGGAAGCTGACAATTGAAAAGTAAAAGTCATCACGTTTATCATAGTGCTTTGTTGTTAGATTACCATTAACGTCTTTTTTAAGTAAAATATACAAATATTTGAAACAGGTGTCGAAGACTATATATCATTTTATATTATATATCAAGTAAAGTAGGATTTTTTTCGATAATCTGAATCTTGAGTATTATGCTACTGAAAATACCTTCTTCTAAAGAAATTCTGCTTTAAGGGACCAAGACTTTGAATGAAATGTTGGCATGCAAAAAAGCACTTAGTCTGCTCCATTATTAGCTTTTCGGAAGACTACATAATTACTGTCAGTGAGCAACCAGGCAGAATCATCTCCCGTGTTCTTATCTGAAAAATCAGACTGGTTTTCATTGTGTGATTTTTTGATGACAAATCACAAAATTTGATAGTACAGAGGTCCATTTCCATTGAAGAAGCAGTTATTCATGATACCAAAAATATAGTCTTGTTTTTTAAATCCATCACGAGGTTTCTATTGTATTAAGGGTAGGTAACTCGTTCATTTTGATATTATAGACTAAAAACGTGATGAAAACTTTTGAAAAGTCCTTAGAATACAGAGGGAAAATTAGATGGAGAGGAAATCCTCTACGGTCTTAAAACTTAGAGATAAACAATTAAAGGGGTCCAATTTAGATAGAGACTTAGCTACGCTGAAGGAATTATTTTAAATATCCAAGAAGACAAAACACTTACGTCTTTTATGTTTTTAATTTAGATATACCGGTAATTGAAAATACCTTATGAAAAAGATCTACGAGTATGTCTACGTTTCTCAGATCAACAACCAGTCAATATTCTATAATTTGAGCTAGTTTTTATTAAGAAAGTGAAACATAGGGAGATAACGAACAGTATTCAAGTACATAAAACAATACAAAATAGGAGCAGAGCTAACACGGACCTCCAAGACATCAGAGGCGGGATCAGGTGCCATCGAAGAATGAGCATCCCATGCCGACCGGTAACAGCGGTTGTGTACTATTTGTCATGATCGGGAAATAATGGGAAAATCTGTCGTCAGTTCAGTGTACTAATAATGGATAACAATTAGTATGCAAAGCGTCAGTCAGCATTCGACTCAATTTTTAATTGTATTTGCTGACAAGGTCATTGTATCGACCATAGAACTTAAAAAATGATGACTTTAAACGAGACAGCTGAAATCATTGTTTCAACTTGTTTGTCATTAATTTACCTCCTTTTAGAAATTGTTCCTACGTTGAGCATGCCCTTGCGTATCGAATCAAGTGAGATATATAAAATGCGTATGCAGGTGATGAAGATACATGTATATTGCTGCATAAGTAAGGAAAGCTGACAATTGAAAAGTTAAAGTCATCACGTTTATCATAAAGCTAGGTTGTTAGACTACCATTAACGTTTTTTTTTTCAAATAAAATATCCGAATATGAAACAGATGTGTCAGACTCTCTGGAATCTTTTATCTCAAGCTCACCAGGATATATCGTTTTGACACCAGAATGGAAAGTACCATTGTTCGTCATCTATAAATCTAAATGTCGAGATGAAGGCCACAGCAATTTTTTTTCACGCATAAGATTTCGTCCGTCAATTACAGACGTAATTGGAAAAGGAAAATATTTCCTCAATTCGAGAGGAAAGTCTCACGATATTTGATATAGACATCTAGAATTATTGCATGCATCAAATGGATAATAAGGACATCATATAATTCCTGAAATAAGCAATAAGTGGATACTCCATCACGGGTTGTTTGAATTATGAGTTTGTTCTAAACCACGGAAAATGGTACAAAGATGTTGATTGTAAACAAGGAATGTTAAAAATATCCAGAGACAGACAATCTGAAAGACTGGACAGGAATTTCCTAATTTGTAAATTTCTTTCCAGAACGTTGGACATTTTCAGTATCAGTGACAAAGATCCACTAACTGTATTAATACCCGGATATTTTTCAGTTCCACCTGTGATTTTAATTTGGTTTCTGAGTGAAATTCCTTTATGCATTTGGCCTTAAATGCAAGTTGTATATCAAAGACATGGAATATTTGGGAAAACCAGTAGCTTTTTAAAATGAATCTGATACAAAATAATCAAACTAGATACTCTAACTGTAGTAATGAGCCCGAGCATATAATTCGTTTATAATGTCGTTTAAATTCTTAGATACTTTATATCTTTTCTCTTTGTTTAAATTAAGAGGAATAAAAAAAAATAAGATTGTCCATGTGTAAGACCACCCCTGTCAACGCGCGATCGATCGGCAACTCCGATCGTTAAATTCAACTTCGTGAGGAAGATGTGGTTAAAATAATAGTATTTTGTCACATTTCTTTGCGATTTTCCTTCAGCATTTCTGTCTTTTGAGGTGCAACTAGACATGTTTAACACCATGAAAGTCCTTCACGCATCAAATATCACCATATACTTTGTTAAAGTTAAGTTCTCATTGAACATGGTTGCCCTAACCTTACACACGAAGCTCGTTTAAGTGGTATTTCTTACCTTATTTAGAATACCCAACAGTCCAAAAGGCACAATTGCAATTCTAAATGGGTAAATCATAAATGTTTTCCGATTTGATTTTCTTCATCACACAGAAAGCGTCAAAATAATGGTTTAATGTGAACACTTTACAAAGGTTTTGGCGATTGGCAACAACTCTATATGCGATCGTAAAATGAAGCAAATTTAATAAACATGCGATTCTGCAACTTCAAATTTATGAAATACTTTTAATGAAATATAGCAATCGCTAACCATGTGCTATGGGCGGAAAATTTGTCGAAATAGGACGAGACACCGAGCATTTGATTTTTGAGAGGATATATCTAAATATCGAGTTGAAGGCCACAGCAAGTGTTTTCTTCACGCATAAGATTTTGGACGAATTCTGCTTCATATGAACACAAAAATAGGTCAGCTAATAACGGGCCGCAATTGGTAAAAAAGATAAATATTGTCAATCAGGAACTCAAGCATTTTTTTGATGTACAATCAGAATTACATCTTTAAAAAAATAATTTTGCATATTATGCATGACATAGTAAGTAAATTGAAAAAGACCTGTAAATGATATCAAAACGGCTGAAATTTAATCTATCGTGGGAATTTGTTATGTATGAAGTAGAAAAGTTTTTAATCTGTTGATTTTGGTAAAATTTTGTGATTTCAAATTGTCCAAACGTTCCTTGGAATTTTTAGTTTCCACATCTGATTTACAAAACTTTTTGAATATATTTTTGCACAGTACTCTTGAAGATTCTCCTTCACTACTGTTAGTATCTTAGTGAGGAGTTAAGAGAGAGGCTTAGTTGAACATTTCTTGGAGCCTGCAGTGTGTCTTTGAAAAGATTCTTATGAAGTTTTCGAGTCCAATAGAGAAATAATAGATAAAAACAAATATGCATGCCTGATTCATCAAATTAATATCCAAATTAGTACAAACAGTATTTGTAGCTTTTCTGTCTTGTGTTGCAAAAAGCCTTCGGTATTTTATAGGGCTGTGTATTGACCAAAAATTTCGTTTTGCGATATATTGCAATATTTTTAACTGTATTGTGATATGTATTGCAATATTTATAATGTTATTAAAATTGTATTTTCTTATAATATTAACTTTACTTTACATGCAGAGTGTAGATAACTATGATAAGTAAGCAAACGTAAGCAAAAGGAAAAAAAAAATTTGTTGATTTTATTAAAGTTATGAACTTGAAATACATCCATAAAACAGCTTCTATCTTACTGTTTGGCTTTATAACAATTTTTCTCACATCTATTTTTATATTTAATGATAACATTTCTTAGTCTAGGCATTTTGCCGGTATATTGATATTACAGAAACGTATTGCAGTACGAGTTTTTGTCATTGTATTGCAATATACCAAAATATCGATATTTTTGCCAAGCCCTAGTACGAGTATTTAAAAAAATGTTTATCCTCTTTTTACTAGTTTATAAACACGAGATGACGACAACTTTGGAAGTACCTCAAACGTGTTAAACGTAAAGCATACGAGAAAAGGGAAGGGATAAAATTTTGATTATTTTAATTGATATTTCGAAAATGAATTGATTTGTGACAAACTGGATGCACAAAATTTAGCCAAGTAGGAATAGAACATACCTTAACAGACAGAACCGAGATCGATAATTCATTTTATGATGAAGAAGTATCGCAAATGTTTCAACAAAATAAGAATGTCAATTTGCTATAAAATTGTAATGATGCCTAAAGCTGTTGAATTATATACCGGTAAAATTTATAAAGAAATAAAAAAAAAATGATAAGAAATCTATGTATCAAATAGCTATATACTGAAATCTAGAAATATCGGGGAGGAAACGATTCACCTAGAACGGGATTAAGCACTGAATGATATTGTTATCTTTATGAAAACAAGTTATCATTGCATACAATTGATATTTGTTTCCTGAACAATGTATCTGTAGCAGTATTTAACATCAGAATTTTTCTTCTTCTCTCAGTTTTACAAGTAAACACAAAACAATGCATCAGTCTATGACTCTGCAGATCTTTATAGGGATATTTGAGATATTTTGCTTTATATATGCAGAAAAGGCGTGTTTAAGGTAGGTAACCACAATGCAAAATAACAAAGAACAGTTCAATATATTTATTCAGAAGACAGGTCTCACATTTTAAAGAATTTCTATTGCAGCACAGGAGAAACAGGGATCTGTTGTGCAGATTATTATTTGAAGGATGGAAGATGCACTCGTAAGAAAGAACATAATCGTTTTAGTTATATTATTATGTAGGAATGTCATTATGAATCAGACATATTGAGAATTGATGGTAGCAATACCATTTTACACACATTTATCATTATATTTTAAAAGAGATTCATCAAAACTCTGCAGATTTTATATTGTTTTAAAATCATTTTACGCAATAAAAGCTTTTGTACAGGATATTTAACAAGTCATAATTAATTTTTTCATTTTTTTTTTTCAAATAATTACATATCATTAAACGTTTTAAAAATAAGTCTTCATAGTATTAAAAAATAATATCTAATAAATTATTTAAAACATCTAATAAATCTTGTACAGTCACGATATTCAAAATGTTAAACATAAAAAAAGGCTCTAAGTAAAATTAAACATAATTTTTTTCTTCAAATAAATACATATCATTAAACGTTATAAAAAATGAGTCATCATAGTATTTAAAAAAAATATTTAAATTATTTAATACATATTATAAATCTTGAACAGTCACGCTATTCAAAATGTTAAATGTAAAAAGAAAAAAGCTCAAAGTAAAATTTAAAAAGAAAGAAAAAAAAATCGAGCAAAAAAATACAATGCAAAAACAGCAAATAATTTAACAAACCAAATTTTAAAAACAAAATCAACTAAAGAATAAACAACAACATTACTAAAAAGAGAAATAATGAAACCAAATTAACAAATATAACTGTTACATTTAATCAAGAAAGGTACTGAATAACTTTAATACATTTATCATTTCAATTAACCCGACTCATTGCATTCAATATTCAATTGATTATGTTTATAAAATGTAAATAATATATTTTTGTTAAAAACCTTCTGAGTTTTTTAAATATCCGATCGTGATTTTGCAATATCAAATAAAATCAATGACTGATTTCGGTCATACATTACATAAGAAATTGGCGAAGAAAAATCGGAAAAAACTCTAAATTTTTAACGTAATGAAAAAAAAAATTAAAATAACAAAACCACCAACAAATAAAACTCTCTTTGTTTGAAATCATTTAAGCATGTCCTCAAGGATACTTTGGACCAAAATGTGAGCATACATGTCCCTATCCAACATTTGGGTATAGATGCTTAGAAGGTCCGTGCGGTTGTTCTAAGGAACAGTGTAACAACACTCATGGATGTTTATCAGGTTTGTTTGATATCTTTGAGAAAGGAAATATTCTTATTATACCAAAAGCTTAGCATTACATTTAGGTTTTATACCAAGGTAGATTGTTAGTCGTTACCAAAAATGGCGCTAGATGTTAGCCATTTTTTTCATTTAACAAAAAGTACATGAATGCATACAAAACTAACATTTCAAATTAATATATTGCCGACATTAGCAAGTGATCTTAACATTTTTGTGAATCCAGAGCACAGCACTTCAATGGTTGACAAAACAAGACAGACGAAGTCAGAGCACTCGCGGGAAAACAAACCTAAAGAATGGCCTGATATGATCGTCATCATCGCCCTGCCTTCAGTTTCCACTGTTGCCGTCTCAATGATCGTCATGGTTGTCCTGGTGTTCCGACGAGGACAAAAGAAAGCAAACCAGAGAAACCCGAATAGAATGTCATGCATATCAAATAATGGGCGAGCCACATCTTACTACGAAATAGACGACAGAAATCTTGTTCCTAACAGATTTAGTAAAGGAGAAAGTAATGCTGGGGAATACGTAGGTCTGGACGAGAAAAAGGTCGAGAAAAGCAAGTACACAACATTGCCTCAAAGGAAATGATAAAAGACAACCAGTTCTTGTTATCATAACATTCTGTTTGACTTATATAAGTACCATGATATCAACATTTACATTACTCATGTTTTGAAGGAATGAAATTGTTTTTTATTTTCTGAATTATCTAAGTATGACCTAAATGACTTATTTAGAAACATTGCAAAATTCACTGCTTATGAAACGCACAAGGTCGAGATAAGAACATATTCACTTATTGTAGATTTTCAATTATAATTTTAAATTTAAATCAATGTTTACATTACTATTCATTTCTTTTTAAATTTTCTCCACCGTTTGCGTTTTCCTGCTCCTGGTCTTAATGTTTGAATCGCCCCATGAGCTTGATTGCTGTTCATTATCGACATATATTTCATATTTTAATTTCAAGGACATACACAACCTACCTTACCTATGGATAATTTTTCAAGATATTCTTAATTTAAGATTATAGTGCCATCAGATGTTCATAGACAAAAAATCAGCATGCATCACAAGGGGGTTTTGAAAGATATCAATTGATGAAAATCCTTGGATGATTCAAAGAAAAATATAATAAAAATACCAAACATGTATTCTAGATGTCTCTTTTATCCAATTTTGATTTACAGGAAGTGCACAACACCGTATATAGACATATAGACATTAAAATATAGGACACAGTCCCTTTAAGAATTGGAATTCTTCAACCCCATGGAAAAAGACGAAAAAGTTCAAACTATGTTGCGTATGTCCTTCAATGTCTCTGAAAAAGGTCATTCTTTAATCATGTGAAAACAAGTTTAAATATCACAATAAAACCTTAATTTTGAAATACATTGTGTTTATTTATTGAGACTCAATTTAAGCAAGGAATTACAACGGTTGAATCTCGTTATGCATTAATTATACAACGTTTTCAAATGTCGTTATTGTCCCTGGCATACCCTACTAACGAGACAGTAATTACTTAATTACACGAGGCCTCCAATGTCAATTTCAATAGTCCTCTCTCATTGATGTCAACACAGACAATTACACGAGATTTACATGCATAATTAGGCTTCCTTTGCATAAGAATACGAGGTTTACATGCATATTAGGCCTCCTGACCTACCGGTTGGTAAAATTTACAATTTGCGATCGGTAGAATGATCAAAAAATCAATTCATCTATCTTTCAAAGAGTTAAAACGGAGAAAGCAAACAAAAAAAGGATAAATAATCGCTTTTTTTAAAATATGTGTGCTATTTCCCTGTTGAATGACAAAACAATTTTGATACATTTAAATTTCTCATTGGCCATTTCGGGAAAAAAAAAACTATTAGTATTCAATTGGATCATGCAGTTGCTGGTTCTTTGACGATTAAATGACAATCAACTGAACACAGGTTGTATTTGTGCCATGCGTATCAACTTATTTTTATTCAGGTGATCACTGTTGGATGCTTCTTTATATATTTATACATTTAATTATTGTTGAATACCTACCGTAAATCTTGAAATTTTTGCTGTAGATAAATTTTCAGCAAATATGCGAGTTCATTGCATTCGCAAAAAATATTTTTCTTAAAAATAATTCAATAATAAGAAAATTTAAACAAAATAGTGGTCATTCGCAAAATTTTGAAACGTAAACATTAATCAACAGCATTTTGACCCAGATTCGCAAAATAAAATCTACGTAAAAATTTCCAGATTTACGGTATATATTTTCTTTGCAGTTTTAAACATTTGAATACTTTAATAGTCAGTGAAAAATAGAGTGAGTTTAGCCTAAGGCAAGCATTGGAAAAGTGTCATAATTCTATTTGAATAGGTACCTAAGACGTAAACAAAGGTAGTGACTGTTCCTTCGCCAAGTGCTTGGCACTAAAGTTAAAGTCACGGGTCTTTCGAATATGACCTTAAAACGTACGTCCCGTGTCACGGTAGGCGCTGGCACGATAAAGAACCCTCACTGCTCAATGGCCCTGAGTGCCGAGTATAAGTCTAAATTTGAAGCCCTTCACCGGCCTACGGTGACGTCTCCATATGAGTGAAAAATTCTCGAGAGGGACGTTAAACAATATGCAATCAATCAATCAATCAATCTATTTGAAAAGGTGAACGCAAATGGGTTACCGGTATCAATAACAGTGTAATGTTAACATGTACAAGATTTGATAGAAAAGTATGACGTATGTCTGATTAAATTTATTTATTAGTATGTAAAACAAAAATAGGTCCACACGCAACATTTTAATAAAGTGCCACGCCACAGCATGATACGCCCGTCAAAAAATTACAATTTTTTTTTAACAGTTTAGAGTGCAAGAAAATAATGCCAACCTTGATTCTAAGATTTCTATGATTTTTTCCATTCCTTAAAATATTTAACCATCCCCTGTGATGTAGCCATTAATTATAATAAATATTAAGTCATTGATAGATTTCTATGCTGGTTGTGTTAGACCTTGCCAAATGCCCACCATATTAAACAATATCAAATTAGTCTTAACACTTTAATCTATACCAAATTAATTTTGAAAAGAATAGGCTGGCCATCAATGATATATGCTATAAACTGACCAGCAGTTCTTCTGTCTAATCCCCAAAGGATCAAGACTGCTTGATCAGAGCTAGCCTTCCTACGTTGAACTCATTAATTAATCTTTAATAGGATGCTTGTCTACTCATTACTGCCAAGAGATAAATGGGTCTGCACTATCTACCATAATTTTTTTTAAGACATATAAAATACTCAAAATTTTTTTTTTGTTGAGATTTAATGTCCGACAGGTTTTAATATGTAATTTATATGGACAGGCTGATTTCACCCCACCCCATAAAATTAGTTTTTAAAGTAATAATATTTTATAATATCAGATTGGTCTATTATGCAATATTAAATTAGTTTTAATTACTTTTCATCAAATTCCTTTTAAAACTAAGGCTAGGCAACAAGAGCTATTTTTAATCCAACAGGCTTACTCATTTGCCCATTGCCCAAGGGATATAGATAAGAGATCCTCTACCAGTTAAGTTTTAGCTCCTTACATTAAACTCATTAATTTCTCTCTAATTTGACATGCAATTTTCTGTTATCAAAATTCTTCTTGATCAGTGCTTGATAATTACACTCTGTAGGAGAGGTAGGATTTCTCTAACATACATTATATTTGTTATAGATTGTTCTCAAGCATATGCTTAAAAAATAAGTATTTTCTTGATTTAACACTTTTTTAATAAGGACAGTGCAATACTCTTACATTTGGATTTGTAAATGAATAGTATAAAGACACATTTTTTTTTAATTTCACTTAAATTAAAGGTCACAGTGACCTTGAAATGGGTCGCGACATACCTTCTACCTTAGATGCATAAACTGGCCAAGTTTGATGATTGTAAGTCTTATAGTTTTCTAGTTATGGACCGGAGAGGATTTTTCCATATTTGGCTATAACTTCTTAATTAAAGGTCAGAGCGACCTACTTTTGGTGCGCCACACACCTTCTTCCCAAGATGCATCAGATGACAAAGTTTGATAATCCTAGACCTGATAGTATTAAAGTTATGAGCCGGAAACGAAAAAGCTCACAGACGGACGGACATGAAGCCTATAACATAATACGTCCCGTCTTAAGAAGGGCGTATGAAAATACACAATGGGTTTTACAGTGCAGAAATAGCATTCTCGAAACAATCGCCTGACGTTAGGTGACGTGACAAACTGGGTTACAAACATTTACGCTATATTTAATGAAATACATGGAGATAACGACAAGTGTTCTAGCTCAAAAGTCCATTTATACATAATAGCATTGTGTTTTTGTATGCACTATGTCTAAAAAGTAGTCAGGGTTTGACACATGGTGCACGAGCCTGAGTCGATTGCACTATATGTAAAACCCAAACTACTATTAAGGTACAATGCATGCAAAAGACAACACTATTATTATTATTATTATGCTGACTGTTGGATAAAAATAACATTTAGTTATTCTCTATTTCCAATGTTTCATCACCACCTCTTACAAACATGTTAGTGTATATCTATTATGACGTCACATTGTTCTACATGTACGTCATAATCTTTCTTTCCTTCTGAGTGTTTCATGTAATAAGGTATAACGTTAGCAATGTTGCAAGAAACTACTTTAAAATATTTTGTTTTATTTATTTATTTTTTTTTTTTTTTTGGTTAAGTAACAAATAATTGAAACAAAGTTTAAATTTATTAAAATAAACAGATACAGATAAAGGCGTCAGTAGCTGAATTGCTCATTGGACTGACGATCTCGGGGTTGTGAGTTCTATTCCGACGTGGGTGGTGCCGGATTTTCGTAACAAAAAGAAGCCGTGCACTACTTCGGCATAGTGTCTTTACACTATATAAATCCTTAGAACACTCTGCGATAATAGTTAATCATTGATTCAGACTCTATCGTATCTATCATATCGAGCTCTCTGAGATATGGTGTATTGGAAAAAAAGCGCATGGAAGCATTGTTTATGTACAGTACGTCATAGATAAATCTTAATGTCCAGTTGAAGGCCACAGCAGGTATTTTATTCTTCTGGGTTTTAAGATTTTGAAAGCATTCTGATTCATCTGATTTAAAAAAAAACTGAATTTTAAAATGATGGGGCGCAATTGATACCAATGTGTCTAATGAGTCCAATAAATTGCTCTTCTTACTAAAGAAGAAATATTCGATAACCTAACAATTTTATGATTGAACAATTCGCCAAAATTTGGGGGAAAGTTGGAAAATGTATGATTAATACTTTCTTTAAAAGTTTCTAATTAACTTTCTGCCATCTTTATGAACAACTTGTATTTATAAACGTATGCAGATAACTATCCTGGGTCAAATATTTTATGGAAGACAAACATTTATTTCTTATTGTATTTCAAAAATAATCAATATAAAAAAAATGATTAAAATTGATGTAAAACGTTTATAAACAATCCTAAAATATCTTTATATTTTTATGGAGTCTTACAGAGGAATTACTTTTGAAAAAACAAGGAATAAGGTACCCTTTCGACACTAATAAAACGAGATAAAAAACCTTTTCACAGAAAAATGACATTTATTGAACCAGGTCATGGAAGAGTTTTCTCCTCTAATGGCTGCATGAACACTGTCCGAAAAAATATTATCATTTTTGTCAACGTTGATTATATTGATACCTTGCTGCTTCTTTATTTCCTTCGAACATCTTTCATAAACGCTTATATTTGGACTTGCTAGTACATTTCCCAGACTTCGTTCTGTGCACATGGTACATGAATGATGTTTACAGTAACAACAATTTCCGGTTTTATAAAATTAGAACCAAACACTGCATATTCTTGAAAAAATGTAGTTTAACTCTTTTATGAGAAATTTTTTTTGTGGTATGTATCCTTTATGATAAATTTTATTTGCTGACAGGGTCATTATAAAACTTACAAAATGATGACTTTAAACAAGACATGATATTATTTCTCTTTCTCATATAACACTAACACAAAGGTAACTGAATCAGATTAAATTGTTGTGAGAATTATATAGAAATTCGTAGAAATACCCTTTTTGGAAGGGTATTCCTTATGCACCATGACCGATTCTTGTGACACCACTTGAAATACCAATATCTGATGTCGATAGTCAAGATCAGGCTAAAGATTTTGTATCAAAAGTTGTTGTCCGGTAGAACGTAAGGTATAAAACGCTAGCGGTTGTATATGTAACATGTTGACAGATAAAGTGATTTCAACATTCTCTTTTTGATAAAGTTATAATATTACAATGTGCTTTTTTGCCTATTAAATAAGACTATGATCATCTTAAAATACGTCCGATCATCGCTGGACCTGCACCCAACGACTGAGTAATTTATTGGACATATTATTGAAACCATTATGCAAGTTATTAACCATCTTCGTAAGAGATGATATGGATTTTCTTAATTATATTCCCCAAAATGTAGACCCAAACACTATTCTCGTCAGTTTTGATTTTACAAGTTTGTACACAAATTTCCCACATACTTTTGGACTGGAAGCAGTGAGTAACTGGATAGACACACATCCGGATTTTATGAATTAACGATTCCCAAAGGAATTCATTTTGGAAGGACTGAAGATAGTGTTGGAAAATAACCATTTCCATTTTAACAATGAGTTCTACCTACAAATAGAAGGTACCGCCATGGGAACTAAAGCTCGATGATATACAACATAGAAATAATATGACATTAAGCTTGACATTCCCTCATTATTGAATCTTTAATGAATTTATAACAGTTTTGTGACTACTTTTCATCGTATTATTTCATTGTGGGAAGGTGGAAAACAAGGGCTATTTGAGACACTGCATTAAAAGTGAATGGTCAAGAATCAGTAAACTAGAGTACAATTAAACGCTTCATTAAAGCAGCTGTAAAGCCTGTTAATATCCTAAAAATATATTGACTGAAATATGTGAGATTTACAGCAATCAATGTCTGTTTTATAAACACCTGAACAAGTAGATTTCAATAAACAAAAATTATATAATGGGCATTAAAAATGGGTACCGTCCTTGGCATCAATGACTTACAACAACCAATGTACTACCGTATATCAGGATTTTTCCGCGTGTATCCAATTTCCGCTTTGTTCGCGACGAGTTCTGAATCGCGGAAAATAAAACAGCGTTGTAGTAGATTTATTTTTTAATGCTTATATCGTAGAGGGTAGAAATAGCGGGATCAGAGGACAAACGCGAGATACAGGTAATAGGTATAAGCTTTTATTGTTTGTTTACTAATTGACAAGCTAGCTAATTATATGGGTCACGTTCCTTGCGAGAAGCCATTAAACTAATTATACCTGAGCTGCTAGTCAGTTTGGAACAGTAAATGATCTTTGATTGTTTAATCTTAAAAAATAATTTCTGTGGATTTAAGAGTTAGTACCCAACACAGGTGTGTAATTAGCTGAGCGGGTCTTCCGAAATTGACGAGGTGAAGGTCGATAGATCTATTTCTCACCCGTATGAATTAACTCAAGCTTAATGACTTTTACATTTTACATCCTATTCCTTCATAGGCTTAAACAATCGTTAATAATATAATCACTTGGACTTTGAAATAGTGGAAATTTGATTCGCGTAAATTTAATTCTGATTCGCGGAGAAAACATGACGCGGAAAAAACCTGATATACGGTATATTTGCTAGAATTCAACAAATCATAACCAATTTTGTTTTATTGACTTAAACACACATAACAAATTGTTAAAAATCATTTTGGGGGTAGTTCACACTGTTTTAAAGAAACATTTGATTGTAAAAAAATTTAAATGCTCAAAGCTCACCCTATATTTTGAAAAATGAGTGAAAACGTCAGCATGTAGGAATATCTAAACAATTATTCTAAAAAAAAATCACAAATTGTACTTATTCACGTTTGTCTGAATTCAAACAGATAATGAAACTTGAATCCACTTTGCTTTAAACCTTCAAACAAATTTCAGTATGATGCACTTGACAAAATTGCAAAAGGCCTTAGAAGAGCAAAGAATTGCAAGAGCGCAAAAACAGTTTTATATGCTTTTTTCTTAAATATTAGCGGTCTTATTGATCAAATTCATATTCGGGGAGGAAGTTCAATTTCTTGAGGAGTCTAGAAAACAAATTTTTGCAAAAGAATTGAAAGGTTTATGAGAGGAGGCAAACAGAATGAGGAATTCACTACATTTAATTTCTTCATGACAGCGTCCAAACCCGCAGGCCATGAATAGTAATGGAGTCTTGGGGATAAACAGAAAGTTAATGTTTTGTCACACCAACAAACTTTGCCAGATCTTTCAACCTTTGATTTGTTTCATTTCCCAAACGTAGAAAAACATCTATCAGAAAGAAAAAAACAAGTACAACAAAACAAAGGATCTGCCATATTCCAGTATACAAAGGGCCATACTCAAAAATGTGTTCTAAGAACAATTAGAAATTGAATGAAAATGTTACGGACATGTGTTTAAATAAAAGAGAATATTGTAGTTAAATCATTAAGACTAAATCATAGAAAAACGTTTTTTGTTTCTTTCCGAGCCCCAGTGACATTATTTATTGAACGCCCCTCGTAGTATGAAAAAAAGTCAGTCAGCATTTGACTTAATGATAGATTGTATTTGCTGTCAAGGTCATTGTATCGACCATAGAACTTACAAAATGATGACTTTAAACGAGACTGCTGATAGTCTTGTTTCATCGACTTACTTGTCAATAATTTACTTCGTTTTAGAAATTTAGATAATAACAAGGAACTCCCTGCGGTGTGTGAATTGCGGGCAGAGTATGGTCACTCCTCCATGACATCTGATCTATCCTCTGATGTTTTAGAGGCCTATTTTTCCTCTGCTCCTATTTTGTATTGTTCAATTTTCTTTTGAGCACGAGTACTGTTCGTTATCTCTATAGTTTTTACTGAAGAAATTGGTGTAAACGAATATACCATCTAAACACATTATCAAAGAACTTTGGTGCAGTTTATATAAACCAAGACTGTAATGACTTATCCCAACGCATACACTCATAAACACGTTCAATGATCTCCTGCTCGTATTTGCAATTTGACAATGGTATACATTTTTAACAATCAATCGTCAAGGTCTCAAGTTATATTTTAATTAGGAAACGTGTGCTAGTGATGTGGAATAAGAGCGCATTCCTATAGTCCAATTGTGATGTTACCAGAGAATGGACAAGTGTTTTACATGCCCCATCTGTAACAAAATGTCTGATGGGTCATATTTAGCGAATTTGCGAGTAACATATCCTTGAAACTGCATTGTATTGCTCTTCAAAAGATCGAAAAACGCACCACGACCTCTTAAATTTGGAACACTGTGAATGATGTTCTCTTCAAGCGATAAGCTGAATGCGGTCATGAAAATTGTTAGATATTATAATATTGTTATCTTTTTCATTAAGATACATTTCGGAATACTGTAAAATTACATATTTTTGATGGGTTTTCGAGGTTTTAGAAAAAAAATATTGTTTTTTGAGGATTTATTTCATGGTTGGAAGATGTTTCGTAATAATGCATAGAACATTTTACATTTCGTGGTGGTAATAAATTTGTGGAGCGAAAACAATGAAAATTACCCCCTTCCCCCGAAAATTAGAGATTTCACATTTTTTGAATTTTAAATTAATTTTCAGTTCCGTATCATTTACTTTATTTTTCTAGGGGAGAGAGCGCTGAATGGGTAAAATATTAAAATAGATTTCCTTGTTTTACCTCATACTCCATCATCGATGCAAACAAAATATCCATGCTAATATTTTCCCAGAGTGCAGTATTTTCAGTTTCTGTTAAGTTTTAAGGAAAATACTTGTCTATCCTTTTCATTGAAGAGTGCGTTAATACCCACTTAAATAAAGGACATTATCACGTTCACAGATATTCATTTTCTATCATATATGTATCCTTATGATGTATATTTGTTGTTTGGTATCAGTTGGAATAGTTTCTGCTTTAATTAAGGATGCTTTTCTTTGCATAAGGTAAGAGAAAATATCAATAATTGAGAATAATAGCTTATTGTACTAGTATATCATTTTACATAATATTGTTACATTTTTTAAGAAATGGTACCCCGTGTTGCGCAGATTTTTACAATGACAATGGAGTGTGCAAAGGTGGGTATGACAAAGAATTGAGAATGTATGGTATAATTATGACATGCTAAAAGATACTTTATTTCTTTAGAAACTTGAAACCATCCTGATTTCGTCAAATTTCTGTTTACAGAATGTCCTGTAGGATATTTCGGACCCAACTGTACCTACAAATGTCCATATCCTAGGTATGGACGCCGATGTGTGCAGGGAAATTGTACTTGCTCTAAAGAGGAATGCAACTTCGCAGTTGGTTGTGGCAAGTCAGATTAAATCAAATATTTGAAACATAATTTTCTAATTGTATAGCATTTTGAAATTTAATCAAAATTGTCTTTCACTTTTGAAAAAGAAAGTATCGAAGAAGTCTAGGTTAATTTATAATATATATAAGATATATTTTATAATTTTTGTTGTGATTTCTTTTTGTAAAACACATACTGATATTTATAGATATAGGAAATGAATATTCAAACAGGACATACGGAATAAAATCGTCTAGACCTAGTGCTATCACAGTCACCATATACGTTGCTGGTTCGTTGGTCACTATAGTTATTCTAACATTGGCAATATTACACTTGAGGCAAAACTGTATTCCCAGACATGAAAGGCAGACTGTGACCATGTCAATTCATGGAACACATGAACACAGAGGAATATACGCTGAAATAATTTAAATAATTTAAATAATATCCTTTTCGAAAAGGGTTTGTAAAAGAAATTGTTTAATTCTCACATAAAGCTTTTGTATTTGAAATAAAAGAACAGATTGTTTGTGGAAATAAATTAAACTAATAATATTAGTCACATTGCAACAGATTTTTTCAAAATGCGCGAAACCCATAAAATTTCTAAGAAAAATCTACTTAACTTTAGACGTATCCTACCTGTAAGAAAGAAACATATGGCGATAACGATCAGTATTCAAGATCAAAAGTTCATGAAAAATACGAAATAGGAGCAGAGCAAACAATGACCTCCAAAACATAAGAAGTGGAATCAAGTGCCATGGAGGAGTGAGATTCCCCTGCCCACTGGAAACACCCGCCTTGTGCTCCTTGTCATGATCGGGAAATACCGGGAAAATCCTTCGGCAATTCAGCGTACAAATGATGGACTAACAATTAGTATAAAAACGTCAGTCAGCATTTGATTCAGTGATAAATTGTTTGCTGGCAAAATCATTGTATCGGCCATAATACGTACGAAATGATGATTTTCAACGAGACTGTGAATATTCTTGTTTCACCACTTGTTTGTCAATAATTTACCTCGTTTTAGAAATAGTTCATACGTAGAGCATGTTCTTATGTAACGAATTTACTGAGATATATAAACTCCATATGCAGGTGATAAAGGTATATTGCCGCATAAGTAAGGGAAGTTGTCGAAATAAAAGTTAAGTCATCACGTTTATTATAGAGCTTGGTTGTTAGATAACAATCAATGTCTTTTTCTAGTAAAATATCCATATATGAAACAGATGTGTCAGATTATGAGGTATCTTTTATCTCAAGCTCACCTGGATATATCATATCGACATAAGAATGCGATAAAAAGATCTCGTGGCGTAACAATGCAATCTTGAGTGTAGGAAAGTTATATTAGACAAGGAATCTTATGCTACATAAAAAAGAATGGAAATCATCATCAACGAGTGTAGAAACACAGTCAATAGCAGTGTGAAAATCTGAAGACAAAATGAATATGTTATATACCATGTAAGTTACTGGTGCTATATATAGTCTTCAGAACTATCTTTACATGAAAATTTACAATTTCGAGTTATTGATCAAATTATGTCAAGGCATATAAAAATTATTGTGAAATTAGATTACCCTAAACGCTTGAACAACTTCTTAAACGGGGTAATTTATTGACAACCAAATTTCATGAAACAAGAATGTCAATATATTTTTTAATATTATCGTCAAGCAATTCTGACTGTTGCTACACTGGGGGTTGAGGGGGGTGGGGTTGGGTGGGGTGATTTCATCATTCAGAGGGAAATTGTGTTTTTTACAATTGTTTTTCGATGAATCAGATATTACTTATTCACATGAAAATATGATAATATATATTACTAGGTGCATGTTGATTCCTAACTATGATCACCTTTGTTTAGTTGATGAATGTCAGAGACTTTGTAAAGATTGAGCATGTCATGGAACAGCTGAAGGACTTTTTCATCACAAATAATTTGAATTTCTAAAACACATGTTTCCCTAAATCACATCCTCAATTAATGCCCAAATACTATCATTTCGATTCCATAAATTAAAGAATTTTCAATTTTTTTATGTTAAAGACTAAAAAAAAATGTGACTAATTTTTTGTGAAGTTCTTTAGAATTCAGAGGAATTCAGAGGTAGAGTTAGGCCTAGAGAAAATCATCTATGGTCTTCATAATCAGAGATAAACGAGGGGACCAATAATAGAAAGAGACCAAAGTTTAAGGGGTTTTTTTAACGAGCCAAAGGGAAAAAAAGCACAGGCTTCTTTAAATTTAACGTTTTCAGTTTAGATATAATTGGAAGTACCTGATAAAAAAACAGACGTCTGTAAATTTTATGTTTTCAGTTTAGATATTGTTGGAAATACCTGCTGAAAAGGATTTAAGAAAATGTCTACGTTTCCCAAATCAACAACCAGTCAATATTTTGGACTTTACCCTAGCTTTTATTAAGAAAGTTACCGCAATCAGTCAAAACTATCCGTCATTTAGATAGTTGTTTAATAAATGCATAACCGGGAAAGGAAAATATTTCCTCATTTCATCAGAAAGTTACACGATTTTTGTGGCATAATAAAATACCAGGGAGAGGGAAAATATTTTTTAATTGATTTTAGGAATTTAATAAAATCATGACAAATCCAGCTTTATCTCAGATGATTTATTAAACGTACAATGAAGAAGTATCTCAAAGTGATTCAATAAAAGTTAAAATAAAATTAGATGTCAATTTATTAAAAAAATGTAAAGAGTCGTTGAAAGCTGTTAAACATTCTACTTGGGGAATTCAAAAATGAATAATAAAAAAGACGAAAATAAACTCTTTACCAAATACGGAAGTAGGTTGAACGCATAAATCTAGAAAAACAGGGGCGTTTACATTTGACCTAAATGCAAACCAGCATTGAAGGATATTATTATATTCACAAAATATATTATAATTATATTCATATTATATATTATATTATATTCACAAAGCATTGCTTACAATTTATATTTGTTTCCTAAAAAATGAAACTAAATCAGTATATCAAATCAGAAAATTTTCATCTCTCAATTTTACAAGTAAAAACTTTACGAAAACAATGCTTCAATCTAACACTTTGCAGCTCTTGGTAGGGATTTTTGAGATATTTTGTTTTATAAATGCAGAAAAGGCTTCTCAAAGGTAGGTAATCACAGTGAAATCCTGAATTAAAAACTAAAACTTTTTTTTTTCAAAAAAAGTATCAAATAATACGAATTATTATTGCAGCACAACATAAACAGGAATCTGCAGTGCCGATTATTATTTGAAGGATGGAAGATGCACGCGTAAGAAAGAGCATATTTATTTAAATTATAACATTATATAGGTATATAATTATGTATTAGACATATTGAAAATTGATAGTAACATTAACTTTTCACTTACATTTATCTACATATTTTAGATGAGATTCCTTAGAGCTCTTCAGAATTTATTTTGTAACTTTAAAGGTCATTTCACGCAAACGATTTTTGTCTAAGTGGTGTTTAACGGCTCATAATTATTTTTTAATGCTTACGTATCATTAAACGTTTTACAATAAAATATATAAGTCAACAAAGTAGTAGAAAAATAAATATCTAACAAATCTTTAACAGTCACGTTTACATTTTCAAAGTATTAAACGTACAAAAAAAAATCAAAGTAACATGACAAAGAAAAACAGTCTCTAACAAAAATATAATGCTAAAATGCAAAAAAAAAAATAAATAAAGCAAATAAACCCCCAACCCACCCCGCAAAATTAGCTAGAGAACAAGAGGCCCAGGGGCAACATCGCTCACATGAGCAACTAACTAGGTAAAAGCAAAATTCAGTTCAGCAAAAAGTTTAAATATAAAAGTTGGCTCAAGGAGGGAAGGTGGTATTTGAAAAACTTAAATCTATACTTTCAGATACTTTTAAATAAATACAGGGTGTTTCATAATATATGTTACATTTTGAATCTACAATGTGACAAACACAAGAAAAAGATATTGATAAATCTTTTTATCTAACTGATGCACGTATCTATAAGATTCATAATGTACAATTACCAACTAAAATATTAAACACTGATCAAAATCTAAAACATTAAAGTATAAAATTGTCAAAATGTCCAAGTTGCGTCATTTTTGCTACGTTGAATTTCACAACGTCAAAATCTCACATTATATGTTCCAAATGATCTCCATTAATTCAACAACAAATGAAAGTTGTTCCTTGAAATTTGTGTAATGCCTTGTCACATATTTTTGCTTAGACACTCCTCCTTTGAAGGTCCATGCTCTTTCTGAGTTCATTAAATATCTGTGGTCTAGATTTATAGACCCTTTTCCTTAAGAACCCCTACAGGAAAGAGCCCAAAGATTGAGATTGAAATTGTCAAATGCAGACTTAGGTCAAATCATTCCTTGCATTTTTTAACATTTGTACGCTGATAACTTCAAATCATATTTTAAAGTTTATTATATGCTGAAAATGCTGATATTGCCAGAATGAATTTCTGAAAATATCTATCAGACACATTTCTCAGAAGTTTGCTTAACTAAGAGTCTCCACTACACTAATTAAATCTCTGCTTCTTAAAGTCGTTCAGCTCTCTCGAATACCGCGTCATTTATCGAATATTGTCCGCCTTTGTCCTTTATCCTTACAACCCTTCTGAAAAGCATCCTAGAAAGCTTCCATTCTTTTAGAAAATTTATTTTGTCAACTATTTAATGAGTAGAATGAATGTTGGCGACATGAACTGAAAAAAGGGCTTCACAATTCAGCACTGAGTGGATAAGTCAAGTTCATTTTGAGAAATATTCAAATTATGATATTGGTGTTTATAGCACAATTAATCATTGCAAGACCATGATTTCCGTAACATTTCACATGGAATAAAAATGCAGGATTTGATGTTTAAAATGATATATAGTTTGTAATAGAAGTATGAGAGGTAAGAAAAATAATTAGATTTAAAAATGTAACATATATTATGAAACACCCTGTATGATATATAAGGGCTTTGCTGTTTATAAGATGAACATTTTTATTGATATAGCCTTTAAATTCCTTTGTATAACTATGATCCACTTTAATGCCCCTCTATTTCATGGATCTACATTACCTTTTTTGATGCTTTCGTATTGATGATCAATGGTGGCTTTATTGTTCTTGTAAAGAATTTTAACGATTTTCCCTACGTATTCCTATGTAAAACCTTGATCATCCATTTGGGTCCCACCCTACACCTGGGGGTCAGAATTTAAACAAAGTTGAATCTACACTATCCGAGGATGTTTCCATATAAATATGAACAATTATGTCTTTGCTGTTCTTGAGAAGATTCTTAAAGCTTTTTTTTCTATGTATTCAAATATTAATCTTTGATCCGCCATTGTGGCCCCACATTACGCCCGGGGTCATGATTTGAACAAACTTGAATCTACACTACCAGAGGATGCTTCTATATTACTATGACCTATCACGGTATTGCTGTTCTTGAGAAGAGGATTTTAAAAGATTTTTCTAAGTATTCCTATGTTAAACTTTGATACACCATTGTGGCTCCACCCTACCCCCGGGGGTCATGATTTGAGCAAACTTTATCTATTCTACTCAAGTATGCTTCCACATGAGTCTCATTTTCCCCTGGTCATGTGGTTCTTGAGAAGTTTTTAAAATATTTTTCCTATGTACTCCTATGTTAAAGTTTGAGCCCCCATTGTGGCCCCACCCTGCCCCTTGGAATCATGACTTAAATAAATTTGAATCTACACTACGAGAGGATGCTTCAATATGAGTTTCATTTTTCCTGGTTCGGTGGTTGTTGAGAAAAAGATTTTTAAATGATATCAATTTTTTACTAATTCATAATAATCTCCCTTTGGAAGATGGCATGGCCCTTCATTTGAACATATAAGAGCATGCTCCTCGTATGTGAAATTTGAAAAACGATATAAATTATTGACAAACAAGTTTATAAAACAAGGATATCAGCAGTTAAAGTCATCATTTAGTAAGTTGGAAAGAATGACCTTGTCAGCAAATACAATTTATCATTGAGTCAAATGCTGACTGACGTTTTTCATACTAATTCCGGGTTTGCTCTGCTCCTATTTTGTATTGCTTTACGAACTTGTGAGCTTGAATACTGTTCAAAATCTCCATATCTTTTAAGATACTGAATAAATTTAAACAATGATCATTTCAATTAACCTCACTCACTGTATTCAAAATTCAAGAAATTGTGTTTTACAAATGGAGATGATATATGTTTAAAAAATTGTGATTTGTAATTATCCTATCGTGATTTTGCAATATGAAATGAATTCAATTAATGATTTAAGTCTTACATCACGTAAGGCAGAGAAAGATCACAAAAAGTTTTTCTACTGTTCGTTACCTCCATATCCTTCATCTTTTAAACGTAATGTGAAAAAAATTAAATTATCAAAACCAACAAAAAATAAAACTCTTTTTCTTTGAAATCGTTAAAGCCTGTCCTCAAGGATACTTCGGACCTAAATGTGAGCACGCATGTCCCTATCCAGCATATGAGTATAGATGCCTAGAAGGTACGTGTAGTTGTCCTAAGGAACAGTGCAACAACACTGATGGATGTTCGTCAGGTTGGTATGATTTCTGAGAGAAAAATATTTTATTTTGCCAAACCTCAACATAAAGATCAATTTCTGTACGATGTTTGATTTTTAATTGTAACCAAAAATGGCACTAGAAGTCACCAATTGTTCCTTTGATAAGAAGTTCATGACAGTATACAAAAGTACATTTTACAATTTAATTCCCTGAATTAGCAAGTAAATTAATCATGTTTGTGAAGAAGCGTACACAGATGATTCAAAATGAAGAATCAACAACCTTTGGCTGGAATCCAGAGTACAGCACTTCAATGGATGACAAAACAAGACAGAAGTCAGAGCCCTCAAGGCAAAACAAACCTAAGGAATGGTCATCATCGCCTTGTCTTCTGTGTCTACTGTTGCCGTTTCAATGATTGTCATGGTGATCCTGGTGTTCCGACGAGGACAAAAGAAAGCAAACCAGAGAAACCCGAATAGGATGTCCTGTGTATCGAATAATGGGCTAGTCACATCTTACTAAGAAATAGATGAAAAAAATCTTGTTCCTAACAGATTTAGTAAAGAAGAAAATAATGCTAGGGAATACGTAGGTCTGGACGAGAAAAAGGTCGAGAAAAGTACACAACATTGCCTCAAAGGAATTGATAAAAGACACCCAGTTCTGATTATCTTTACATTCTGATTGACTTATATAAGTATCCTGCCATTAGATTTTACATTACTCCGTTATTAGCAGACTTATTTTTATATTCATATGAAGCAGAATTTATGCAAAATCTTATGCGTGAAAAGAAGAAAACACTTGCTGTGGCCTTCAACTCGACATTTAGATATATCGACGACGTATTGTCAATTAATAATGATAATTTCCATTCCTACGTCGATACGATATATCCTGGTGAGCTTGAGACAAAAGATACCACAGAGTCCGACACTTCTGCTTCATACTTGGATATTTTACTTGAAAAAGACACTAATGGTAATCTAACAACCAAGCTATATGATAAACGTGATGACTTTAACTTTTCTATCGTCAACTTCCCTTACTTATGCAGCAATATACCTTCATCACCTGCATACGGAGTGTATATATCTCAGTTGATTCGATACGCAAGAGCGTGCTCTACGTATGAACAATTTCTTAAACGAGGTAAATTATTGACAATCAAGTTGATGAAACAAGAATATCAACCTTCTCGTTTAAAGTCATCATTTCGTAAATTCTTTGGTCGATACAATGACCTTGTCAGCAAGTACAATTTATCATTGAGTCAAATGCTGACTGACGTTTTTCATACCAATTGTTAGTCCATTATTTAAACACTGAATTGACGACGGATTTTTTCCGTTATTTCCCAATCATGACAAGGAGCACACGGCGGATGTGACCGGTCGGCAGGGGATGCTCACTCCTCCATGGCACCTGATCCCACCTCCAAGATTTTGGAAGTCCTTGCTTGCTCTGCTCATATTCTGTATTTTTATGGAATTTTGATGTTGAATACTGTTTGTTATCTTCGTATGCAAATTATTGACAAGCAAGTTGATGAAACAAGAATATCAGCAGTCTAGTTTAAAGTCATAATTTCGTAAGTTCTATGGTCGATACAATGACCTTGTCAGAAAATACAATTTATCATTGAGTCAAATGCTGACTGACGTTTTTCATACCAATTGTTAGTCCATTATTTATACAATGAATTGACGATGGATTTTTCCCGTTATTTCCTGATCATGACAACGAGCATACGGCGGGTGTGACCAGTCGGCAGGGTTGCTCACTCCTCCATGGCACCTGATCCCACCTCTGATGTTTCGGGGGTCCGTGTTTGCTCAGCTCTTATTTTGTATTGTTTTATGGACTTTGAGATTGAATAATGTTCGTTATCTCAATATCTTTTTTTCATTACTGTTCAATATCTGCATATACACATGTATTCCATTTTTGAATTTCTAATGTCTCCGGAAAAAAGACATTCTTTAATTATTTTAAAAAATTAAAATATCTTAAAATGAAACATTAGCTATTGTTTATTGAGACTCAATTTGATATAAATATATAAACTTTGTAGTATTTCTCTGTTGTCTGACAAAACAAATTTGATACATTTATTTTTGAAATTTTTGATTGGCCAGTTTGAAAAAAAAATTAGCATTTTTATTGGATCATTCATTTGACAAGAAACAAATGGAAGTCAATTAAATTAACTATTAGTTGAACTTGTGCCATGCACAGAATGGGATGTTCTTCTTATTTTAACACATGTGATCACTATTGGATGCTCCTTTAAATTCTATTCATTTAATTATTGTAGAATACCGTCACACTTTCTTTCTGGTTAAAAACATTTGAATATTCCATTAGTCAGCGCATCTTGCTTTTGCAAAAAAAATAAATAAAGTAGGTTAAAAAAAACTAAGGCAAGCATTGAGTTTGGAAATCTGTCATAATTCGTAGTTGAAAAAGTAAAAACAAATCGGATATAATAAACATCTTAAATAATATATACATGTAGAGAGGTATTAGAAAAGCACGACGCATTTTTTTTCTTAAATTCCCATCATTAATCTATTAGTATGTAAAAAGATCAAGTCCACTACATAAAATTTCAAAAATATTCAGTGGACATGGGCTTGTACAGTTCAGTAATAGTATTTACGGAACAATTGTTTGACGTTGGGTGACGTGACAGCCTAGGCCACAAGTAGTTAAGCTTTTTCACAGGTCTAATGAAATATATTGAGGTAACGAAAAGTCTTCTAGCTGAAAAGTCCAAAATATAAATCATTACCAGAGCAAAATATGGACCTCTAATATAAAACAACAGAGGTGGGATCAGGTACCAGGGAGGATTGAGCAATGTCTTGTCAACCGATCATACCCGACGTTTGCTCCTTGTCATTATAAGGAATAACGGGAAAATCCGTCATCCAAAACACGTACGAAATGACGACTTTAAACGAGACTGCTGATATTTGACTCCATCAGCTTTTTGTCAATCCATTCATTGTTCTTACGTAGAACACACCCTTACGTATCAAATAAACTGAGAGAAAAAAACAACTGTATGCGGAGGACAAAGGTAAATTACTGAATAATGCCTAGGTCACATTTCCCGGCCGGTAGCCGTAGATCGGTGGTAATCGGTAGTAATCCGTGGTGTTAACGATGCCCTAACATCGGTCTACATCGGCCTTGTATTCCTTAAAGTGTCAGTCACATTATCCAACGATGTGCATACGATGGACAACCAATGCGTTTCATGAGAAAAATGGCGTGGTTGCCGGCCGGACTTACAAAGGTCCAGCGATGTATTGCTTATCATAAAACGATGTTCCAGGATAATCGGTCGATGTATATTACATCGCTCATACATTGGTGAACATCGTTCGTACATCGTTCGGCTACAGGCCAATGTTTGGTCGAACATCGACCGATGATCGGTCGTTATCTGTTGAACACCACTAAACTCCCCGATGACCTCAGATTCAACGGATATTGGACGATGCTCGGCCATACATTGGCCGATCCTTGAAAGATGTATTAATGATGGGTTGCCGATGAGGAGCGATGTGAGGCATCGTTGGAGACATCGCTGAATTTTAACTACGAATTATTTCCTACCGATTACCCCACCGATTTGCAAAAATGACTCAGTCACCGTCCGATCACTAGTAGTGCCCGGCCGGCAACCACGCCATTTACATCAAAAAACGCATCGGTTTCTCATCGTATACCCCATCGTTGGATAATGTGACTTATACTTAAGTAAGAGAAGTTGATAATTCAGAAGTTAGAATCATTACCTTTATCATAAAGCGTTGTTATTAAAGCTAGATCAACGTCTTCTTCTAAAAAAATTTCTAAATGTGAAAACAATTTCGGACTCTATGGTATGTTAAAAAAAAACTCAAGCTCAATAAGATGTGTTGTATCGACATAAGAATGGAAATAACAATTGTTTCTTAACAGTAAGTTATCAATAATTCTAAATGTCGAGTTGAAAACTATAGGAAGTATTTTCTTCTTTTCACGTATAAGAGTTTGAACACATTCTACTTCATACGAATTTAATGATACGTCTGCTAATAACAGGGTACCCATGAACCACAGTATCACAGTAGATTTTTGAAAGATCTTGAGAGGGATTGATCCATTTTCCTATTGAAAAGTTGTACTTAAGAACTATATAAAATTCTCATTTAAGAAAACAAAATCTGAAGTCATATTCATATTTATTCGAAGCACAATTCAAAGTTCGGTTCAATTCTGAGAAAATTAGAGTACCTAAATTAAAGTCACCATAGCAAAAATAAAGAAAAAAAATGTAAAAAAAAAAAAATTACATATAGATTGCTGAAGCGAGAACTTTCACAAAAACGATTGTTTTTGTCGAAAATTTTTATCTTTTTTGTAAAACACTCATGACACAGAAAAGGTAATTGAATCAAATCCATTCATCTTTTATTTCCTCTAAAAAAAGATACAGAATTAAGTAAATTAAGACATTGATTTATGTACACTTCAAAAAATATTTTCAAGTAAATTATAACCAAAAATGAAAGATGTCAATTGTGTACGAATGTCACATTTGTCCTACACGAGTTATATATATGCGCGAGAGCGCTGCACATAGCCGTTGGTATTGTGCACCTGCACGAACTAACAGTTTCGAGTTCAGAATCCCGAATTCCCTTTCCTGAGATAAAGGTAAAAGGGTTTGAGGTTCGCGCCCCAGGAGAACCAGAAAAAGATCCGCCTCATAGAGACCACACAATTCTGCTCCAAGGCAGATATGAAATTAACAATTGTGTTCCATCATTCATTATGACAGTCAGAAATCAGAGATCTAGAGAATACCCGAGAAGAAATTCACGTGACAGAAGATGTCGTCGTATGTGGAATTGTACAAAGGACACGTTAAGAGACATAGGTATTTTGTTGATATGATAAGTTTGCAAGTGAATTTGATATGTCTAACTGTAATTTGATTGATTAATTGAAAGTGTGTTGTTTTACGTCCTATTCGATAATTTTCAATAATATAGAGAGGTCACTTTATGTCGGTGAAGGACTTCAAAATTAGACCTAAACTCGGAACTCGGGGCCATTGAGCAGTGAGGGTTCTTTATCGTTATGAATCTAGTCAATACAGGAAGTTAACATATTGTTTTTCATCTCACAAAAATCCACCTCTAGTATCGTGTTAAAATGCTTGAATTCGAATCGGAGATTCAGGAATTATTTTGCGTTAGCCAAATTTGATGTGACCCTCAAGTGGAATACTCTAACGCGTTTTGAGTACCATACCTTGATTTAATTCCACTTTGTTAAAGCGGCAATACGGCAGCAAATCGTGTGCTTTTTCATTCAAATTTATCCAATATATCTTTCAGGAATAAGGTAAAAAATTATAGTAAGCATTTTGAGAAAAATAAATATTCTCTCCTCATACAAAATTAACCTAATTAGAATCTGCCGGATAATCAAGGGTCGTACAACTTAGATCTGTTTACTTGTACCTCGTGAATTCTAAAATGTAGGGTTTACAATTATAATGGAATATTAGGTAAAAGCAATTCTCAGAATCAAAATATCTTAACTCTCCGGGAAATTAATAATAGTTATATTAGCTAACATTTTAGTCTGCATTCAGACGAATTTAACATGATTAAGTACAAATGTTGACGTTTTGTGTAACGAAGTGCAGGATAGGAAAATCCACAAAACCATACGTCATTGCTGCAAAATGTCATTCAAAATATCTATCTGCAGTTCCAATACAATTTGCACTTCAAATGGCAATAATTTTTGTAAGTTATAAATGCATTTTTATGTTGAGTTTACACTGATTTTTTTCCCGTTGAAAGCCATGGAGATACGAGAAATGATAACCTGTAGGGTACAACCTTCTCGAGCCCCACTTGAATGTCGCCGAGATCCCGATTCTTCTTCATCCAATAATTATATTAATCTCCCAACTAAATTTTTGTCAGGAAAGTTGCTTTTTAATTTCAAACCCTATTTTTGGTTTTGTTCTTCGTTTTGGTCGACTTTGTCAATGTAGCAGGCCTTCCGGGGTTCCCTCTCTTACCATGCTGTTTTGTTTATGAAAACTATACGCATGCGTGTATGGCATGGAATATGGAACCTCGAACCTCGAACATGTTGTGATTTATATATTTATGTACCATAAATAATTTTAATGAAAAAGCAGAATTATTTACGTATGAAATTTAAGTTGTAATTTTCTGAAAGTGTAAACATTTATGAGTATGAAAAATATTCCAAATCCTATAGGAAAATTTTAACAAGTCTGTTTTTGAAGAGATGCGCCATATTGTCACTATAATCTTCAAGTCAAACATTCAAATTTTGACCTTTTATTCCGGTTTTGGGGTCTCGTGAAGCTCATATTTTTCAGTTTGATATGAAACTGTGATTGGAGATCAGTGCCACGTGGTCTGTATCACTTCATCACCTCATTTTTTGCATTCAATTCATAACTAATTCAGATCCCAAAGTTCTAGAATGGCAAATATTGCATTAATGAAAAGCAGCCTTCTCTTTAAAAGTGTTTATATTATTGTGGTTTTAAATTTAGGCTTTGTTTCTCTCAAAGACAGGTATTTAATTACTTATAATTATTAAAACTTTTCATCAGCATTAATATATTATTGCTAAATACATGCACATGATCTACAATTCTTATAAAAATATTTTGTAGTGGAAAAGATTGTACAATTGACTTTAAATGGGATTTCACAAACTCAAAATGCATCGGTGAGTTTCTTTCTTGGCTTTAATTTTCAATTGCTTTTAATAATAGATACGAAGCTACATTTTGAAAAAAATACACATTTCACAGGTTTATTCGTGCGTCTCTGGTGAAAAATGAATCAATTATAATATCTATTTGTTTCAGCACCACCTTTCCCTGCTATAATGTATTACATTTACCTGTGTATTGTTTTTGGGATACTAGCAACATCAATTGTGATTATACAATGATTTTTCTGCAAATATTTATATGTGCCATCAGGCTTACATTATCACCATTAGGAGGTTGACTGTTGATCAATACTTATGTTTTATTTTCAGAGTGTCCCCGTGGATCGTTTGGACGTCAATGTGCCTACAGTTGTAGCTATCCAAGTTATGGGCGTCGTTGTTTGGATGGTGTCTGCAACTGTTCAGTCATGGAATGTGACCCTGCAAACGGCTGTAAAGATGGTACAGTGTATCAGATAAAACAATCCTTATCGTTTCACCAGCAGATACAAAATAATTTATGAACTTTGAAAAAAATTTTCTTTTTCAAACAAAAAAGGTGTTCATGTTGAGTATGCTTCATAAGCTTACAAACATATTTTATTTTGACTTAAGGAATCTCAAAACACTGCATACTAAAGAGTCCAATTTTTAGGATAGTTTATGTCATTAGAGTGATCTACCCTTAGAAGTAAGATTAACAAAAATGGTTATTTCAATTGATTATATAATTTATATTGGATTAAAATATTCTAAACATAATATTAATTTCCTTACTGTAAACAAACAATAGTGGTTTGTGTTCACAAAAAGTCGCCCCGTGGGGATCCGGGTTAGAATAGGTCCTCAGTACCCCTTTGCTTGTCGTAAGAGGCGACTAAATGGGGCGGTCCTTCGGATGAGACCGTATAAACCGAGGCCCCGTGTCACAGCAGGTGTGGCACGATAAAGATCCCTCCCTGCTTAAGGGTCGTAAGTGCCGAGCATAGGCCTAAATTTGCAGCCCTTCACCGGCAATGGTGACGTGTCCAGATCAGTGAAATATTCTGGAGAGGGACGTTAAACAGTATACAATCAATCAATCAATCACAAAGAGTCCATTGTCTGAACATTTTGAAAATGTGGGGAAATTGCCTAAGTATATATGAGTCACGGAAACTTCAGGAACCGTGAGGTTTCCCGAGCTTCCATGTAGTATCCCGTAAAAGGAAACCTAAAGATCCCATCAAGTTTTCATACCACGAAAACCACTACGCTCCGATTCCATCAAGTTTCCTTATTCTGGAAACCAGTGAAATCTTCAGGTTTCCCATTACGGGAAACTACATGGATGTTCGGGAAACTTCAGGTTTACAGATGTTTCCATGGTTCGGGATACCTTATGGAATCGGAGCGTAGTACTTTCCGTGTCACGGAAACTTGGTGGAGAAACCTGGCATCCGCTGCGGAAACCACCGGGAAACATGATGTAAACTTGAGGTTTCCATGTGGTTTCCATCAAGTTTCCCAAAATGGGAAACCGCTTTTTTCACCCAGTGTATAGTTAAATTTTTTATGGTTCTCAAATGAAACTAATCATATGATTAACATATGATATTCATTTGTGGATCATATGTGGTGAAGTTGCCTGTGTAAATAGTCTCAACATGCACACCTCGATATGATATGATATATTTTTCTCCAAGTCAAAAAACACTTTGTAAGTGTTTATAGGTTCTTTAACTTGTAAATATTGCAAATATTCAAGCATACATTAATAAAGTCAGTTGTTTATAGGAATCATCGTGTCATCGAACATAGATAACTATCGAGATTCTCGAACAAATCCAACTCAACCAATGGTAATTGAACAACTAGACGACACAGGCAACGGGAGGCAATTTCCGGGAAAAGATGTTTCATGGAAAAGCGTTACGGAAACTGTGAAATACCATAACAGATCAACTATCATTATTCGAAAGCAAGGTGATTACACAGGAACTGTTTTGATTACTGTTGGTGGGACTTCTATTTCTATGCTGTTACTTGTTGCCATTGGCTTTCAACTTTGTGGAAGAAAGTTCTATGGTAAACAAAAAAACCTCTCTACGTTTCATACAGGTGACGTAGAAAATGAAAATGTTTACTCAGAAGCATAAAATTTAAACCATTGAGCAGACCGTTTTATCTCAGTCATGGGGAAGATTAGTTGCAGAACTATAGCTCTCTGCTTGAGAAAATTTGGGCAGATAAAGCAGAGAGCAACAGACCCATGCATTGTAAAAACCTTCGATTTACGCTCCCGATTTTTTGACACTAACTTCAGGTATTATTTTCTCATAGTTTATGTTTTTTTACGCTCTTAGAATGGTATCCTATAATTAATCCTGTATATTTTAATCCAATTATCGTATATTTTAATCCAATTATTGGTATTTATTTACCTTTAAACGGTCCGAAACACTCCTCTATGGATTTGGATTGTCGATTTCACACTGTTTAAAAGATTCCCATTTTTACGTCAACTTCCAAAAACGGACCTTCTTGAACTGTTGAAAAGTAAATAAACATCTAGAAAAAGGAGCTAAATGTATGGTGAATTATCAAACATCATTTATAAAGCTGGGGAAAACATTAACTTCAAGAAATGATACCTGAAGTGAGCAACAAATAATTGGCGGCGTAAATGGAAGGTTTTTACAATGCATGGATCTGTAGCTCTCTGCTTTATCTGTCTGAATTTTCTCAAGCAGAGAGCTATAGTTCTGCAGCCAGTGGAAGATTGAAACGATAGTTAGACAAATTCAATGATAATTATTTACCAATACCCCCCAAAAAACGGCCTGAAGAAAGATGCTTAGCTGGATTATCAATTTAATAAAGTAATTGTGTCTTCAAACTCCGAAAGCAGGCATATATGGGTTGAATATGATCAATTTTGAAACAGATTCAAGCTACTGAAAACTAATTTGACGTAACAGAGATTTTAACAACCTTGTACGAGGGTCATTCAAAAAGTTCGTAGACTTTTGTCCTAACTTTTTTATTTAACGTCATATTATATCCAAATTTGGTACAAATATTTTAACAACAGATTCAAATAATTTGAGTAAAAAAATTGGAATGTATCCTCATATTTATTAAAATTACCAAGGATTTAGAACAGCAAAAATGGGGTCACGGAGCACCGTCAAAATTGAATAATTTTCTAATTTTCACTTTATAGTATTTACAGCTATACCTCTAATTAATGGAGCTGAAACGAAATAAAATTTACATGTTTAAATAAAGTATTGCTGTATTAATTAAAATGAAATCAGGTTATGTAATATCTCGTTCCATTTAAAAGATATCAGCTTCTAAATACATATGGACTTGATTAAAAAAGGCAAAAAACCATGATGTTGGAGGACGTCAAGGAGCAGCAAGTAGCAATAAAATTAGACTTTACATTCGGGAAACTTTTTCTACAAGCTTAAAAAATCCTTATAAATCAGGATCTGTATGAAAAAAAAATCTGTGTATTTGTATTAAGTTGAAAATACAATTTTTGAGTGGTAGCGAGTTTAAATCGGACGATGGATTGTCTGCAAAGAAACAGGTTAAAGTTAAAAATATTGTCAAAAGAGTTAGGAACGTCATTGAACATGATGTGTGCTTCAATGTTGCAGAAATAATAAAGTTGCATGGTAAATCAAAGAATTTGAAAACAATAACATTCTAATTCAAGCTATATTTGTACAATTGTTAGCAAACCAGGTGTTAAGTATTGTGGATATGTGTTTTGAATGGAGAAGACGCAACAAACCATGTTTGAAATAACAAAAATGTGTATACTTTTGACAAACTTTCTCAGCGTTGTTTTTGACGTTACAATATTGGTTAACCGTGCTCCGTGGTAACAAAACATTTTGCTTTTAATTTTGGCTAACGTGAGTTCTGTTTAATCAAATGGAATGAAACTTCACACTTCGACAAAATAAATGTTTATGTTTACGAAAATGTGTTGATTTATAATCTTGTAATAATTATATGACGATGAGAAGCATTTCTACGTATTTTTTGAATGACCCTCGTAAAATTTCAAATTATGGAAAATCGACGTTCGCTTAGTTTTGACTTTCATTAAGGCGTGGCATTCTCGGCGCTACATGTTTACCGCTCGTCAAATGGCGAATAGATTCTCATTTGTTAAGAAATTAATAACATCAGAAACTTTAAATTGTTTTTGACAACGATGAGACAACTTAAGCTCCACCTATTTGCCGGATGAGACAACATTATTGATTTTTCGATACACTAATTGGCATTTGCCCGAATTTCTATCCCATATATATTCCAACAGTCAAGGAAAGCTGTGTAATTTTCAGAAGCTAATTATGTTACGTCGAGAATGCCAAGCCTTACTAAACGTCCAAACTAAACTGGGAATTGTCGTATTTTAAAATGAAAACCAGAAATGAATATTACACTCATTTTTATCACTTTTGCGTACGAAAAACATTTTTTTTCCATTACTGGAAAAATATTTTAATGTAGAATTTACTCGAAATGCTTAGTCTATTTTGATGCTTTAAATGCTAAATTTCTTTTACAAATAAATAAAACTTATGCTGGAATACGCTCGCATACTAAAAAGGATGCGGAAACGAAATTAAATTTTTCAATTCAAAAGCTTATAAATGATAAAAATTCTAAACGATATATTAAGCAATGATTTCATAATCTCTACTGAGCAATCATAATTAAAAGTAAAAACTTAATTGTATTCAATTTGTAGTCTTACATGTAGCAAAAGTATGAATACATTTTTCATGTTTTAATCGAAAGATTGTTCCTAAAGTTGCTTGAAATTAAAGATAAATAGCCTTTGGACATCTATGTTTACTATGGAATACATATCAACTCTAAAAAGGATATGGAGATAACATCAAAGTCCATTAAACAATATACAAAATAGGAGCGGAGCAAACACGGACCTCCGAAACATCAGAGGTGGGATCAGGTGCCATGGAGGAGTGAGCATCCCCTGCCGACCGGTCACACCCGCCGTGTGCTCGTTGTCATGATCAGGAAATAACGGAAAAAATCTGTCGTTAATTCAGTGTATAAATAATGGACTTACAATCGGTATGAAAAACGTCAGTCAGCATTTGACTCAATGATAAATTGTATTTGCTGACAAGGTCATTTTTTCGACCATAGAACATATGAAATTATGACTTTAAACGAGACTGTTGATATTCTTGTTTCATCAACTTGCTTGTCAATAATTTACCTCGTTTAAGAAATTGTTCATACGTAGAGCATGCTCTTGCGTATCAAATCAACTGAGATATATGTACTCCGTATGCAGGTGATGAAGGTATATTGCTGCATAAGTAAAGGAAGTTGACGATAGAAAAGTTATCACGTTTATCATATAGCTTGGTTGTTAGATTACCATTAGTGTCTTTTTCAAGTAAAATATCCAAGTATGAAGCAGAAGTGTCGGACTTTGTAGTATGTTTTATCTCAAGCTCACCAGGATATATCGTATCGACGAAGGAATGGAAATTATCATTATTAATTGACAATACGTCGTCGATATATCTAAATGTCGAGTTGAAGGCCACGGCAAGTGTTTTCTTCTTTTCACGCATAAGATTTTGCATAAATTCTGCTTCATATGAATATGAAAATAAGTCTGCTAATAACGAATGATGCAATTAAAATCGTACTTTCCTATCATAGAAATTATTATTCCAAAGAGAGTTGAAGGGAATATATAAGGCGCGTATAAGAGCGTTTATTAGTTAGAGAATTATAAAACGGAAGTGAATCAATTTGCAACACGAACAAGGTCAAAAATCTGTTTTGGTTTTGTTCTTTGCGAGGAATGCTCCGCGTGGCGGTGCCCTTTTCCCATTCTTTCATAAAAAAGTTGCCAAACAAAAAGGTACAGTTTTGGATATATAGCGCCCTTAAAATTTAATGTTCTTAAAAAGTTATGATATTGGCTTTAACAAGAGTTGAGTAGATGAATATGATAAATCATTAAAGAATATGGCATGAAGGAAGACCGTTCTGGAAATATGACTTCATTAATTTGGTACATTTCTAAGTTTAATGTAGAAAAGCCTCAGAAAGACTCATTTTTGTGCTTATTTTCCTTTAGAAAATAGTCTCTGCCACCGTCGCCCACTACGATTTTTGGATATATTATGTAAACTGCTTTGAAAATTACATATTTCAAAATCTTTGAGGGGACGGTGGCAGAGTATGTTTTCTGAAAGAAAATTCCACAGAAAATTGATGTCTTCTGCAATTTTTGTAAAAAATACGGAAAAATGCACGAGTTACTGACGTCACAATTAGCATTTAGGTGTTCATATAAGGAAAACAATTTGTGTATTCTTACTGCATGGGATCCTTATGATTCAGAAAGAATGAATTTTAATTTCTTATACACTTTCATATTTTAGATAAATACAGAGCTTAATTTCTATTGAAACTGTACCTCGTTCTTTGAAAGCGTGTTATTTTAAACACTGATGAACTTTTAGCGGCTTTTCGACTCGTGTAAACGCTGCCTTTGAACACGCTTTTAACAACCCTTTCGTAGTATTTTAGAACTTTTTGGTGATCGTTTAGGCCAAACCTAATTTTGTGTTTGCGTCGGAAGGTTCAAAGGTTTCTACATTGAAAATTCTGGGAGAGAGCGCTTGCTGATGCCTTATTTCTAGCTTAAGGTCAGACGACATGTTCCTCAAAAATATATTTTTTTTTCTAAGAATTTGCCACCGAAGTAATGATACTTAAACAAGTTTCCTCACAAAAAATAAGGGTACCTTACCAGGCATTTGGACAAGATACCACAGGGTCATATTTCTTATATAACCCTCATAGGTAATCTTCTGAATGGCCTATATCACAATTTTTTGTGTAGTTATGTTTAAAAACATTTTGAAAACAATATAGAAATCAGAAATGACAAATATGAAATTTTTTTTTTTTTAAATAATACCAAGAGATACAAAACATATATTTAAGAAACATGTTGTCTGACCTTAAAACAAAGTTTGTACAGTATAAAGGTAGTATTGCGATATACATTACATTACTTTTCTGGAATTTGTTTTTTTTTTTTTTTTTTTGATTGATGATTGATGATTTTCTTTTGCCCAAAATAATAGGTTAA